CACTGTGCCATCTGTAGTGTAGTGGTAAGGGGAGTGTTAGTGATACTGGTGACGTAGGGATGGTAACGAACGTTTTGCCAAAGTTTTGGCACTGCCATCTATAGTGTAATAATAATGAAAGATTTAGTGATAGTGATGACATTCGGATGGTGACGGACGTTTTGCCAAAGTTCATATTGAATTGTTTGAATTGCTTCCTGAATTATTTAAATTTAAATTTAAGTGGACGTTGGTGACAGTCAGCTGGCAGCAATACAACGGACGGTGCAGTTGTGTTTAATTGGAGCGGCGTTTCGGTTAATACAAACGAACAGAAGGAAGTTTAGGGTGGGTTTGGTGTGTGTTTTTTGTTTTGATTATACTCATAGTAGCATGGTGGGGGACGTTTCGCCAAAGTTTTGGCACAGTGCCACCTGCAGAGTGTAATAGTTATAGTGGAAATGTTGGTGATAGTGGCGGCTGGGACATGGTAACGGAAGTTTCGCCAAAGTTTTGGCGCAGTGCCATCTACAGGGTATCATAATAATAGTGGAAACGTTGGTGATAGTGGTGGCAGTGACATGGTAACGGACGTTTCGCCAAAGTTTGCTGGTAGATTGGTGATTATTATGTGTGCGTGTAGGGTAACAGTTTCAGTTACTCTCGAAATGTCTGGCGATCTTTTTGGAGTGGCGAGCGTCGGATGTTCATTTGATACGGAAAGGAGCTGAGGAGGCAGCTGAGCTTATGGTTGAGGTGATTTTTTTGTGGAATTTGGTATTTTGCTATGAAAATTTTGATTCGGGGTGTGTTGGCATCGGGTGCCACAATGGTTTAGGTGGGGTATTTCGTGAGGATTCAGGTGGATAAATGTTGGTACCACGGTAATTTAGGTGGATGAAATGGGATTTTTTGGTTTTTTCAATCCGACTGGATCTGTTCTGATTCGATTTATATGTGTGGTATTGCAGGGAATGTGTGAGAAGTCACTATCGCTGTTGGTTTACAAGTATTCCGGGTGTATTCTGTCGTTGATGTACAGATCAGATGTGGAATGGGAGGTGATGAGGTCGGCGCGGGTGGTGTGTTCGATGTTGGAGTGGTGCGGCGAGAGGGCATTCTTCGAGACTGCTTCGGTTATGAACACTCAAATGATGACTTTGCTGGATAGACAGGCTGAGTATGGACATACGAATGTGAGTTGATTGGTCACTGTTTTGTTGTGAGGGAACGGAATGAATTTAGTGATAGTGGTGGCAGTGACATGGTAACGGACATTTTGCCAAGGTTTTGGCACAGTGCCATCTGCAGGGTATGATAATGATGGAAGTGTTAGTGATGAAATGGTAATGATAATTGTGATGATAATGATAATAATAATAATAATATTGTGGCAGTAATGGTAATAATAGCAAATAGGAAAGGTAATGAAGTGGTACGGACACTGCCAAAGTTTCGGCACTGTGCCATCTGCAGGGTGTGATAACGGTAATGGAAATGTTAGTGATGGTGATGAGATTGCTGTGGTAGCGGACTCTTTGCCAAGATTTTGGCATGGGGCCATCTGCAGGGTATAATGATAGAAGTGTTGGTGACAGTGATGGCACTGAAATGGTAACGGACGTTTTGCCATAGTTTTGGCATAATGCCATCTACAGGGTATAATAATAATAACCATGGGAACGTCAGTAGTAGTGATGACGGTGACGTGGTAACAGATGTTTTGCCAAAGTTTTGGCAATGTGCGATCGGTGGGGTAGAATTGCCACAATATATGCATGATAGATATGTGAGCGTTGTTTAATGTAATGTTGAGTGCCTCATCTCTTTTCTTCAGAATTGTCGAGCTGTGGTACTTCGTGCCATCATGAATTTCGTTAGCTGTTCGGCCAGATGGTTCGCTGACGAGCGTGAGGAGGGGGACGAATCTTATCAGACTGATAACTTAAGTGATAAGGACTCTTATCAGTCTACTGATAAGGGCAGTGATAAGAATGATAAGGACGCTGATAACGAGGCGGAAGTGTGGAACGGAAATAAAAAACGACGTTCTCGACCGGAATTTGTTTTGGCCATTGAACAGATTTTGAAACGGTTGGTTTATCTTTGAATTTGGTTACTTTTAACTCGGCGGTGAATGTCAAACTCTTATCAGCAGCTTATCAGTCGCTTGGCATGGTGACGGACATTTTGCTAAAGTTTTGGCACTGTGCCATCTGCAGGGTATAATAACAACAATGGAGATGTCGGTGGCGGTAACGACGGTGCCATGGTAACGGGAGTTTTGCCAAATTTTTTGGCACAGTGCCATCCCACGTATCACTCTTGTCAGTTGTTATCAGCGATAAGCTGTGGTGTTATCATATGGATCAACTCAGTTTGATCGATTCTGATCAAATTTGATCAAATCTGACGTTTCAGAACAAGGCATTTGACTAGTTCTGCGCATCTGAAAACGCGTTTGATGTCATTGCAATTGCTGGAAGTATCGTTGTGGGCCTTGAAGCATTTCCCGAACACCCTCTGCCCACTGGTTCACGATAATTGGCCTGGTGTAAAGTTGAGTGCGGTGGGTGCGAATCTATTGGCTCGTAAAAGGGCACTGAAGGTGGGTGGTTGGATGTGTATGTTCTTGTGCAACTCACAAATGATTCGTTTTTGAGGGTAGAAATGTAATAATAGTAGAAATGTTAATGATAATGATGACAGTGGCATGTTAACGGATGTTTTGCCAAAATTTTGGCACTGTGCCAACTGCAGAGCGTAATAACGGAAATGTTAGTGATAATGAAGACGGTGTCATGGTAACGGATGTTTTGCCAAATTTTTGGCAGTGTGCCATCTGCGTTGTTTGAGATATGTGGTCGATCGCATGATTCGTGAAGATTTGTGAGATTTTCCAGAACAGGATTTGGATTTTGAATTGTGGATTTGGATTTGGGTTTAAACATTTTTAAGTTTAAGAAATAAAAATTTTTGAATTTCAGGTGATTTTGGCAATGTGTTCCACTACAGGATCGTTTATATACAGACGGTTTAAGGCGGAAGTTTGGTCGGAGATCGTGAGATATATGCAGGATGTGCAGAAGAAAGGGACAGGGAAGGTGCGGGGTGAGGGAGAGCAGAGGGGACGGAGGGTGGTGCTGGGCAAGGGAGAGGCGTTTAAGTATCAGAGGAGTGTTCTGAAACAGTTCAGTTTTTGCGGTTTTTGGTTGTGGGATTGGTTTGGATTCGTTGAGATGGCGTTTGGGCACTTGTTTACTTTAGGGGATTCGCTCGCGTATAACAACTGACGTGAGGCCACTTGGCCTACTGCGCATGGCCTCAGCCTAAGCGTGACCTCAGCCTCCTATCTATGCCTTGTAGCCTCAGATCCCTTGATGTCACAACGGCGGCTAGCTGGCGAGC